TTGATGGGCATTTGGGCTGTTTCCAAGTTTTAGCTATTACAAACTGTGCTGCTATGAACATGGGCGCACATATATCACTGTGGTATGATTCTTTTAATTTTTGGGGGAAGATCCCCAGCAGTGGAATAGCGGGGTCAAATGGGACTTCCATGGACCGCCCAATATTAAAGACTAATCATAGCAATTGCTGACAAAGATACAGATCTTGTCATCTATTGCTGGTTGAAATGTAAATGATCACATTTTTTTAGGAACACAATCTTGCAATATTTATTATAATTTAAGGTACTTTTCCAATCTCATGTCTGGGGCTCTATCCCATAGACACAAAAGGCCTGTAAAAAGCTATTTACATAGGGCAAAACCCTAAAAACAAAACATGCCCACAGAAGTGGGGCATGGAGAAATTCACAGGGCCACACTATGAAACATTATGTGGACATTAGAAAACAATGAATTAGAACTATGCCAAGTGAGGCTGGGGATTTAGCTCAGTGGTTCTGCCGCCTGCCTCACAAGCACAAGGACACGAGTTCGATCCCCAGTGCAAAAAAAAAAAAAGAACTACGCCAAGTGATTCAGAAGAACCTGCATACCTCCATGTCTTACAGTATTAGAAAAAGACAGGTGTGGCTGGCTATGGCACACACCTATAATTTGCAACACTCAGGAAGCCAAAGCAGGATTACAAATTGGAGACATAGGGAGTTCAACCCCAGCCCAGCCTGGATTACCCAGGGGAATCCTGTCTCAAAAAAACAAAAATGAAAACAAACAAACCTCAGATGAAAGGCAGGACTGATGGCACATCTTACCCAGGAGGCTGAGGCACATATCTCAAGTTTAAAAAAAAAGATGTAGAAAAATGTGTGTATTGCAATCACATTTTCAATATTTTCTGTGTTGTATGTATACATATAAAATGGCTAGCACTATATATACAAATTATTTTAAAAGCATGGATAAAATACAGAAGAAAGAATACTAAATTGTTGACATCTGTTATCTTGTTTCTTTCTTTCCTTTGAAGAGACAGGGCATTGCTATGTTGCGAAGGCTGGCCCTGAACTCCTGGGTTCAAATATCTTTCCTTTTATTTATTTTGTAGTGCTGGGGATTGAACCTAGGGCTTCACACACGGTAGGCAAGTGCTCTACTACTGTGCTACATCCTAGCCCTAAAAGTATTTTTAAATTAAAAAAAATAAAAGCAAATCCAGGTTTCTCTAAACTCAAGTCCATGCTATTTCCATCTCACTGAAAGAACAAGAAGCTCTTTTCTTTGGTTATACATTAGCCTTGGCTCATAAAACCATCTCCTGAGGTTTGGTCCAGACTTGATCCATCACAGTGAGCCCTTCACTTACCTATCTCACCTCCCCCAAGCTAGACCAGAGATGCTGGGCCAGGAGTGACTTCTCCCCAAGTAGAAACCTGGTGATATCTGGAGACATTTGGATTGTCACTCCTGGGGGTGCTACTGGCATCTAGTGGGGAACACAAAGGGCATGAAGACCACACCCTCCAACCCCACAAGGAATTATCCAGTCTGGAGATCAACAGGACTGAGACTGAGACACACTGATCGAGGAGGACCACTTACTCTGCTCCTGGCGTGCCCCCACAGCCCTGCCCAGTGGCACACTCCCTCCATCCCCGTGGGCTGCCCCATTCCACTTTGTTCCAGGACCTGTCCCCTGTGAACACTTCTGGACCCTTCTAGCCAAGCTCAAATATAACCACCCTGGTCTGTGTTCTTACAAACTCATCAGGCATTAATGGGCCTTAAAGTACCACTTACGTTGTAATCCAAATTCTTTTTTAGCTCTTATAATGTTATTAAAGTTTGCTTATGTTTTTGTTTTTCCTATCCAACTAAGTTTATAAAGCTTCTCAAGAAACACTTAGCTGGGCTGGGGATTTAGCTCAGTGGTGCCACACCTGCCTTGCAAGCACAAGTTCGATCCCTGGTACAAAAAAAAAACAAAAACCCCAAACAAAAACCACTTAGCAGAGTGCTGCACAAGCTGTAGGTGCAACACTTTTAATGACTAGTCTCCCTTGGCAGAACAACAGTGAGCACTCACCTTGGGGGCGATGCGGACTCGCTTGCTGTGGCAGGCTACCTCTGAGCTCATGAGAGAAGCCGCCAGGGGCAACGGCACCTTCACTGTGGGCTGCAACACCAGGGACTGGTTCACTGGGAACTGGATGGGCACCAGGTACGAGTTGACCCTTGGCAGCAGTGGCTTCATCTTCCGCCCTAAAAGGAAACAGGAGAGATTAAGGACAGGGGTCCAGGGAAAACCCCTTCTTGCTCTCCTTCTCTGGACTCAGAGCCCTCCATTTGAGCTGGGGACAGAATTTCTGAGGCTAAGATATGCCCCTCAATAAGGCCTCCCACTCACGTGCACCCAGTGGGAATTCAGTTTTGATGGTTGCATTCCGGCGGAGCTCAGCATTAGGTCGCTTCTGCTGCTGCTTGTGGCACATAGAGAGAAAGAAACCTCAGTTAATCAGAGGGGACACTAGACCCCACCAAGCTAAGGTGGGGCACTTAGGCTAACCGACAGCCCAGAAAGAAAAAGTGGGCCTGAGGAGGTGGAAGAGGTGAGCAGTCTCCCAAGCCCTGCTTCCGGGAAGGTGGCTGGCACACCATACACACTGGCAGGACAGTCCTTCCCCACCCCACCATCCCCCAGGGGTGCTGAAGCATGTAGCTGTCTGAGTGGCAAAGAAAAGCCAGGCAGAAGAGTGAGGTAATAAAATACAATCTTCGAGGCCCATGACACAAGTGGCATGTCCTCCTCTGTGCCCTGCTTTGCTCGGCTCCCCTCTGTGCTGCCCCTGAAGGGGAAGGAGACGTGGGCAAGTGCCCAGCAGCCACAAGATCCTCACTCCCAGAAGCCTCAGGGTGCTGTGTGTTTCGGGGCAGCAGTCACACGGCCCTAGGACACCTTCCCTTAGGCACAGCTTGTCTCTGTCCATAAAAGCCATGCTAAGCAGTGAAAGGAAGCAAGGCCAAGCCCCGAGCCAGATGGAGAGAATCTTACTGATTCCAAGTGCTCGGGCGATTGTGGAGACCCTGGGTCCAGTGGCTGTGGCAGCCAAGCATTGTGGGAGAGAAACAAGATGAAGTTACCATCAGCACGGTCAATCTGACCAGACTGGGAAGAAACCTATTCCCAGTGGATGCCAAAGGACCACCTGGACAATTGTCCTTCCCAGAAGGATGGTCAGTTACCAGCAGCCAAGTCCCAAAGCATAGCTTCTTTCTAAAAAGATGCTGTGGTGGCTCAGTTTCTGGTCTCTAGCCCAAAGGCGTTTTTTAGAGCAAAGTTTCCCAGTCTTTCTCTGCAAAAATCACCTGAGATACTTTTAAAAATACAAAATCCTTTGGTGCACACCTGTAATCCCAGCACTCAGGAGGCTGAGGCAGGAGGATTACCACAAGTTGGAGGCCAGCCAAGGCTAGGTAGTGAGTTCAGCCCCAACTATGTGGCAAGACCCTGTCTCAAAAACAACAACAATAAACAATAAATAAATAAAAATAAACATAAAAATTCCTGGTCCCATCAGATCCCCTGAATCAGGAGCCCCAAGAGAGGGACCTGGAAAGCTATATTGTAACAAGTATGCCAGGTAATTCTTACATCCAGGGGAGCTAAGGAAACACTGCCCTGAAAAGTCCTCTATTTTAGACCACAATGGTGCTTTCCATGTACCTGTCTAGCACAAAAGTGTGTCATCTGGTATTTGGCAACTGTACTTAATTCAGCATGTTTAATCCAAGTCCCTAACTAGATGGCTCCTCCCAGCATCCCAAGGACAGTTTGTTCCTTTTGAGATGGCCACCACGACCTCCAACATTGACCCTACTTAGACGAAACTAAGACACTCACCTTAAACACCTGATCCAAAGTCAGGAATCTGTTTGCACTGGGGTGAATGGTCCAAAAGGAGACCTTGCCATTGGGAGATGTCTCCCGAACAAACATGTCGTGGAGGGAAAGGTTGTGGCGAATGGAATTCTGGAAGAGGGAAAGGCGACCGGCTGTCAGCTATGTTAGTTTCTGAAACACTACCTTTGAAGCTTATGGGCCTCTCCTGCTCAGCACAGGCTTTGTCCACAATCCCTGTGACCTCAGCTGTTGGCAGACTCACTGACACTCCACACTACAGTGCTGACACCTCAGTCACACCCCCTCAATTCCACAGGGATGGAGAATGTGACAAAGACCTGGCCCACCTCCTAGCCCACAGGCTCATCGGCAGAAGCCTCCTGTCTTCTCTTGTTCTCCATCTCAGTGCAGGATCAAGGTGAGGAGAACCTCATGCATGAAATTTGCACCTGCCACCTCTGCCTCAATGTTTGTGTGGAGTGGAGAGGGACTGAGCTGTGCAGCCCACAGCCAGGCTTGTGTTTTCTGGAACTAGATACACTGTCAGCTCCTTCAGCATGGTGGAGAAAGGAGCAGAGTTCACTCCACAGTCCACAGAGAAAGGTCTAACAGAGCAGGAGTGGAAAATCTGGTTCTGGGATCCAAGGGCAGAGCCATCTGGGGATCAGATGTGACCCAACCTTGGTATCCAGACAGGTCTTCTACAGGGGCTGGGAAGGCCAGGTTCAGCGTCGAGGATCAGCAAAGAGGAAACCACATTTGGTCCCAGCAGAAGTTGAAGGAATCATCTCTCCTGGGAAATCCCATTCCTTTTCTTTCTTTGCTCTCTCTTTTCCTCTCTCCTTCTTTCTCTTGTGTGTGCGTATGCATGTATGTGCATGTGTATTGCTAGGAACCAAGCCCAGGGCTTGGCATATGCTAGACAAGTGCTCTATCTCTGAGTATATGCCTCTCAGCAAACCCTACTTCTACCCAAGACCAATGAAAAGATGTGTGTGTGTGTGTGTGTGTGTGTGTGTGTGTGTGTGTTTAAACAGGGTCTCACTTTATAGTACAGGCTGGACTTGAACTCACTACGAAGCCCTGGCTAGTCTTGAACTCTTGGGAATCTTTCTGCCTCAGCCTCCAGATTGCTGAGGTTACGGGCGTGCACCACCATGCCTGGCTCAATGAAAAGATTTTAATGAGTGCAGGTGTGGTGATGCATGCCTTTAATCCCAGCTCTTCAAGAGGCTGAGGCAGCTGGATTGAAAGTTCAAGTGAAGCCTGGGTAACTTAGCAAAAATCTGTCTCAAAATAAAAAGGGCTGGGTCAGGAGGCTGTGTCAGGAGGATTGCTCTAAGTTTGAGGCCAGCCTGGGCTACACAGTGAGTTCAACACCAGCCTGAACTACATGGTGAGACCCTGTCTCAAAAAAATTTAAAAATAAATAAATAAATCAAAAGGGCTGGGGATATAACTCAGTGGTAAAGTGTCTGCCTAATGTGTGAGGGCCTGGTTTCCATGCTCAGCACCACAAAGACAGAGACAAACAGAGACAGAGAGAAGGACTTGGCGGGCTAGGAAAGTAGGATGAGACTGTAAAGTAACAGTCAATAGCAAAATAGGTGGGTGAGGGCCAGGGATTTAGCTCAGTGGTTTCGCCACCTGCTGTGCAAGCGCGAAGACCCAAGTTCGATCCCCGGTACCAAAAAAAAAAATAGTTGGGTGAGATAAAGTAGAAAATTAAGTTGATGTAAGAGTGTAAAGAGTTTTACTGTGGGGAAAATAAAACAAAACAAACCACCCTTGGCTTGGAATTGAATCAAAGGACCTAATTTGTGGCAGGAATGATGAAACACATCTGTAATTCCAGCACTCAGGAGGCTGAGGCAGAAGGATCACTGGGTGTTCAAGGTTAGCCTGGGCTACAGAGTTCAAGGCCAGACTGTGTCAAAAGAACAATAAACAAGCAAAAAAGACCTAATTTACAGTTCCAACACTGTCCAACCAACTGTATGAGCTACGTCGATTCCCAAGCATCTCAGTGGTTCACATATAAAGTGAAGAAAAGCCCTGACCACTAGAAATGTGATGCTTTAGATGAATCTTGGGGTCATGAGGTTCAGGGTTGTTTTGGGTTTTTTTCATTAATATCTTTGGTAAAAGATGAAGAAGTTTTACTGATTTTGCCCAGATTCAGTACAATCAAGTCACAATCCCAAAGATGCATCTGCTTAGCATTTGAGCATTCTCTGCACCTAACTGCTTCCCCAGGGCTCCACACATACTGCAGCACAGTGCCGGGCACATGCTGTTCAGCTGCAGCGACCCCAGCTCTCAGTGTCATGGGACAGTTACCTTCCAGCCTGGCTTGGCAATGTGCTTAAAATAGGGGAAGTGATCCTCGATCCAAGTGTAGATGTCCTTCAAGGTCATGCGCTTCTTCTCGGTGCTGTTGATAGCGAACTGTATCATGGCCATGTAAGAGTAGGGCGGCCTCTCAGACACAGAGTCCTGCCAGGCTGTTGATGCTCCCAAGGGCTCCTCCACCTGAGGGGTCTGAGAGCCAAAGGGAAAGGAAGAGGGAATGACAGATGAGCTCATGAGAACTATGCAGCCCCCGACCATGGCCCCTTGAGAACAGCCCCTGGGAAAACTTTATTCCCAAAAATGTACTAAACACAAACTCATCTGAGACTGCTGTTCCATAGTGGGACACACTTTTAGGGCTAGGGAGAGTCTCAGCGATGATCAAGGCTGGAACAAAGCCAATAAGGAACTGACCGCTTCTCCATCATCACTTGTTTTGTTGAAGATATTATCCAATAATAAAGGAAAGCCCAGTCCCTTTAATTGAAAGTGCTCTACTCGGGGTATACACTATGATTTTCAAAGCACTGGTTTTATACTAATCCATGCCTATTTTTCAGACTTGCAGACCAAGAGTTCTGGGTCTTAGTCCCATTTCTTCTCCTGATGAAATGTGAATAAATCCATCTCATTTGAATGTATGTATGAAATGTATGTATGAATGTCTGTATGAAAGAAATATTCTCAAGAGTTTGGGGCAGAAATAAGTCTTCAAAGCCCACATTTGCCTAAATCTTGGCCAAAGATCTGATCATTCACATTTTGTTTTGTTTTTTGAGACAGGGTCTTGCTATGCAGCTCAGGCTGGCCATGAACTCACTATGTAGCTCACACTTGAACTTGCAGTGATCCTCCTGCCTCAGCCTCCTGAATACTGCAATTACAGGCATGTGCCACCATGCCCAGCATTCACATTTTTTTTTTGGTACTGGGGATCGAACTCGGGTCCTTGCACTTTCGAGGCAGGCAGCAGAACCACTGAGCTAAATCTCGGGCCCCCAGCATTCACATTTTAAAAAACTGAAATATAACTTTACAAAGTGCAACTGTAAGGGCCAGGGATTTAGCTCATTGGTTCCACTGCCTGCCTCGCAAGCACAAGGTCCCAAGTTCAATCCCTGGTACAAAAAAAAAAGTCCAATTGTATATTTAAGTATTTATTGATGTATACATCCACCTAAATTTTCACTTTTTTTTTTTTGAGACAGGGTCTCGTTATATAGCTCAGACTACCATTGAACTTGCTATGTAGCCCAGACTTGGCCTTGACCCTGTAATCCTCCTGCCTCAGCCTCTCAAGTGCTAGGATTACAGATGTGAGCCACCACTAAAATTTTTTTCTTTTTAGCACTGGAGATTGAATCTAGGGCCTTTGTGCTGAGCTACAACCCCTGGCCCTTTATTTATTTTTAAATTTTGAGACAGGGTCTCACTAAGTTGCTGGGGGTGGGCTCAAACTTGTAAACCCCCTGCCTCAGCCTCCCAGAGTGCTGGGATTACTGGTTCGAACTGCCACACCTGGGTTACATTTTCATTTTTAAAGGTTGTTGGTTAATGGTTAAAGGGTGAGTACAAGAGAACCTATCAGTGGACCTGTAATATCGGCAACTATTAACAACAACAAAAAACCAACCCAGACTACACAATTGGCTTAGATCAATTTCAACTGCTTTAGAAGTATTTAAAATAAATCACGTTTGCTATTAATATTACAGTATATCGTTCCACCACCTGCCTCGAAAGTGCAAGGTCCGAGTTCAATCCCAGGTACCAAAAAAAAAAATTACAGTATATTATCTAGTAAAACTATATTGTTAAAAATGTTGTATTCCATTCATCTTGGGATGAATGCAACCCAAGGATCTTGGGATGCTTCTGTAAAGTTCAAGGAGCTTCCCAAACTAAGATTTGTTAGAATCATTTCCTGAATACCTACAGAGGACCTACTAAGGACAGAATACGAAATCCAGTGCTCAGAGTAATACAGAAAAAGCCAAATCCAGTGCTCAGCGTAATACAGAAAAAGCCAAGGGAATCTGTCCTCAAGGAAATGTCACAAATAGGGGAGAAAAAGATCTGAGGCAGAAAAATAGCTCAAAGTTTTACAGAATAGCACTGAGTGGAGAACTGCTATCAGGACTTGGAAATGCTGACAAGCAGGCCATGCGAGCCATGTCCCTTCTTAGAAATGTCTGCACTCACTCTGATTCCCCAGCAAGTGACAGAATAGTTCACCTTGACCTGACTCTGCTCCAGGTAACAGTTCTCCTTCTCCTCCACTTCCTGCTTGATGCTGCAGGAGCTCAGTCCGTCAGAACTCATCTTCCCAAGCCACTGAATGTTACTCAGGCTGCTGTCCAGAATGCAGCCTGCTGCCTCACCGCCGGCTAGAGGGGAAACAAGCCAAGACCCCACTTAGCTGCCTGACAGACGCTCAGCAGGCCCACCGAAGTCAGTGGGCAGGGATCACCCACCCTTAGGACAGGGAACACATGGAGAATCTATTGTGGCTCTGAGTTACTCTGCCCCACTCGGGGTTTCAGGACAAATTCAGACATATTAATTCAAATCGCATTTCAGTGTGAGCCACACTGAATCTTAAATAGCAATAAAGGCAATCTTTAAAAAAAAGGCAATCTTATAAATGGGCTATGGAATAGCTATTTAAAAAGGCACTTTTCTTCCTCAAGTTTCAGCTTGTTCCTTTATTCAGATGTGGAAAGATTAGCTTCCTTATAAGGCCAATGGAAAGAATAAACAAATGATGAACAAACCCCTTACTAATACCTTTAAGGAAAACAATAGAAATGCTAAATCATAATTGTAATTCTTTCAACTGTGTCCAAAGGCTCTGTGTCAAGGGTTGAAGGGAGGGGAGGGAGAAGGGAAAAAAAGAATGAAGATATACTATGTTCAGATACAAATTCCATATGATGAATGTTATCATTATGTATATCTAAAATGTACTAATAAAATTAAAATTAAAAAGGCTCTCTGTCAAGGTTTCAGGATGAAGACTTTCCCTGGGTTCAGACTGGATGTCTGTAGCAGGCAACAATACTCCTGCAAGCCTTGCCGCCAGAGAAAAAGCCAGGCTCCTCAGCCCTTGCCCTGCAGACCACATACCACAGCTCTCCCACCGGTGCCCTGGAGGAGCTCCAGGTGGCCTAGGAACATTCACATCCTTAGCTGCAGGCTTTGGTCCCAACTTCTCAGTGAGTAATTCTGTACTCTTGGAATCATTGCTGTTTTGGGCTTGCGGCTGTGGTCCTGGAGAGCAAGCTGGGGCTCCCCCACAGCTGATGAGGATGAATTTGTTAGGCCCACTGCTGCCACTCTCTTTTCCTTTGGCAGTCAGTACTGTGATGATGCTCTGGATATCAGCATTGTTAGGGATGGCCACCACTTGTGTGTTGGGCATGGTAGGATGATTAATAATCTTGATCCCAGCTGGAAACTTGCAAGAGCTGGATTCTGCCACCTCCTTGGAGGCTGGGGCTTGACTAGGCTCCTTCTGGGCAGGGGGTTTCTTAGAATCTTCTTCAGATGTTTCAACTGGAGCATTTTGAACAGGAAGGGGCAGCCTCCTTCTTTTGAGAATCAGTGGCCGATGAGGGCTGGTTTTCATTCTGAGTCTGTGCTTTCACTCTCCATTGAGAATCACAAGTATGGACCCTGCGAAGTATAAGGAGCAGCAGAACATCAGGGATTTGCTGGGCTAAGAGGAGGTTCTTTTATTTCTTTAATTTTTAAAAATGTTTATGAGTACATATTTGTAGTACATAATGATTACATTATGTATTACATAATATGGGGAGTTGGTGCATGTACATAACACATCTGAATTCTTTTTTCTTCCCTTCCCCTCTGCTCCCATCCGAGGTTCTCTTAGAAGGTGCTCCTCTGCATATATGGCCAAAAGGATGAGCCTAAGGCCTACATGAATGCTCCCAAGCTTTTGTAAATACCTAGGACAAAGAGTGATGAGCCCCACCAATCAAAGGAAGTGAAAACTACATACAGCAAACAGAAGCAATTCCAAGGGAGAAAGTGAAGCTGGGCTAGAAATCGTCAAAAGAATGAGTGTGACATTTACAAAAACATGGACATCTCTATTATAATATAGATAAATCATGTGCAATGACTATAGGGTCAGGAATGGAAGATGCTAGAATAGGACAAATGGTAATTAGGGGCCCCAGACAAAACTTGGATCCTTTAATGCCTTCTCAGATAAACCATTTATATTTTGATGTCCTCCTACTCTGTAAACAATAGGACCAGTGCCCAAAGAATCAGGGGGGAAAGGCCAACTGTAGCACTGCACTGTCACCACAGTGCTGAAGTTACCTCCCAGGTCACAAGATGTCACGTGACCCATGGGAAGTTTTACAGATTTTCAACTCTATGGGTTGCCCTTTATTTCACTGGCTATTACTCTTGCATTTTTATTTTTTGGTGCTGGGATCCAATTCAGGGGTTCATACTTGCTAGCCAAACACTCTACTACTAAGCTACATCTATAGCCCTTTTAAAATTTTTACTTTGAGACAGAGTCTGGCTAAATTGCCCAGACTGGCCTGAACTTTGATCCTTTTGGCTCAACCTTCCAAGTAGCTGGAATTGGAGGCGAGGACCACCATCCCCACTTGAAAAACTGTATTTTCTTTTATAATTTCCAAAAACATTTATTTACTGACATTTCAGTACTTGCATCTGATTATGCATATATTTTGTAAGCATGCTACTTTATTAATTTCTCTTCCAGAACCAAGATTATAACCCCTATTTCCTGACTACTAGAATGCGCTATTACTATGCTAAGGTGATTTTGAAATGCTAAGAAAGTATTTTTTAAGTATTCCATTAATTTTTATAGATATATGGAATAGTTTATCATTAAGTAAAATTCCATCATTCTACTTTGAAGTCCTTTGAGACATGGAAGAATCAGTTGTCTCTTTTTTTGGACACCTGCGATCTCCCTAAAAACGACTGACACTTGTCATCTGCTTAGAGTTCTCAGGCCCTCCCCACGCTGTTGCCTCCCTTTCCTTTATATCTCGGGTTTCTAACTTCAAATCTGTCTTAATTCTGCCTCCTGTCCCTCCAGTCCTCCCTTTCCCCAGCAATCAGCAAATACTGCCCCTTTCTTTCTACAGGTTAAGTCCTTCTCTTCAACTCTTGACCAGCCTTTTCCTGATTGCCCGCACTGTCTGGCCCAGGGAGGCTTTGAAGCGCTTGCCGGACCCGGGCCCCATCCTAGACAGGGAAATCTTGCTACACTGTCCGAACCAGAGAGGATAGAGGCCCGGGCGCCAAGGCTCCAGCCCCGGCCAGCACTGCCGAGGTCGGCGGGTGCGGTCACACTCAAGGTCAGACCGGGCTTTCGGAGCAGGGAGCGAACGAACCCAGAACGCGACCCTCGCTGAGCGCCTCCGAGGCGGCGCCGACCTCCCGAGGCCGGCGCCCCGGGGACGCCTCGGCCTGGCCTCTCAGTCTGTCCCGCCGCCCGGCCCGGCCCTCCCCGCTCACCTCAGACCGCAGCGACACCGCCCAGGGCCCAACACAGTGCTCTTGAGCCGGCCGGGCCCCGGAGAGCGGGCGGGACGGGAGCCCGGCGGGGAGTGGGCCCGGACGGGCCGGGTGCGTCGGCGCCGGAGCTTTCGGTTTGTTCCGCGGTTTGAAATTGGCGCCGGCGGAGCGTTGGGTCACGTGACGGAGCGTCGCCAATCGGCGGCCCGTGTCTCCGCGTTCTGGGAGGAACGCTGGGCGCGGAGCTGCGGCAGGGGCAGCGAGGTGCGGGCAGCGAGGTGCGGCGGGCGGCGCGCTGGGACTGGCCGGGCCGAGCGGAGCCGCGGGGCGCGGGCGAGTCGAAGGGGACAGGGACCGGTACGGGGGCGCGGCGGGGACCCGGCTCCGGCTGCGAGCTCTCCGCCCGCTGGCCTCACCTGCCTCCCAGGCCGCAGCTCCCGGCTCTCCTACCGCTTCCCTCGCTTTTCAAGGATGAAATGGTCGTGTTCCTACCTGTCAGCTGTGCTCGGCTTATCTGTTAACTACCGTCGGGCTCCCCGGGTCCACCGAGTCTGGGGCGGCCTGTCGTCTACCATCCCAAGTAGGGATTGAACCTGGGGCCTTCGCAGTGAGCAGATCTCCAGCCCTTATCTCGCTAAAATGCCCAGGCTGGGCATGAATTTGCAATCCTCTTGCCTCAGCCTCCCAAAATCCTGGGATTACAGGCCGGGCCACCAAGCCTGCCAGTGTATTTCCTCTTAAACCCACAGGCCTGCATACCTTACAGGCCCTGCCTCAGCTCCCAGACCTCAGGTCCTCCACTCTGAGCTGTCTTGCCCCCTGCCAAGGTCGAGCTTTTATATATACATACTTTATAAAATGTTGTATTTACTCGCTTATGCAACAGTTTTTGTGGAGGACCTGCTATATGCCGGGCCCAGAAGATACAATGGCAAACAGGGTTCTTTTTTGACCCCTGAGCCTAGAGTCTGATGGGGTTGTAGGGGAGCACAGACATTTCCCCAGAATCAAATAGTTACAGCTGCGAAGTGAAGTTAGAAGTCAGTGATACTTCCCTTCTCCTTCCTTGCTTTACTTTTGAGACCAGGTCTTGCTGTGTTGCCCAGTCTGGTCTTGAACCACTGGACTCAAGGAATTATCTCATCTCAGTCTTCAGAGCATCCAAGACTATAAGGCTACCAGGCCTTACTACTATATTTTTGAGTATTTAAGATGAGGAGATCTTGACTTAGGTAGGACAGGAAAGGCTTTTCTGCTGAACTGAGGGTGAGCTTAAGATCCAGCATCTTTTACACAGAAGGCAAGGAGACCTGCTGAGTAGGAGGAATAAAGTGCAAAGGCTGCTGTGTAGCAGGAAGAGGCCTGGGGAGTCCAGGACTGGAGAGTGACAGGTTTGGGCTGAGAGACTTGAATGAGTGTGGTGTGACTCAGAGAAAACATACCCAAGAGTTTTGTCCTAACCCAAGAATTTATTAAAGGAAGTCAACAATTTAAGCAGGAGTGGGTAAAGATCGGATTTACATTTTCAATTTTGCCTCTGCTGGGAGTAGAGTGGATTATGGTAGACAGGCTAATGCTATACCTCAGGCAAGAATTGTTGGAATTTGAAGAGGGGTAGGAGGAGGTATTCTTGGTGCTGGGAATTGAACCCAGGGTCTCTTGCATGTCAGTTAAGCACTTTACCAATGAGCAGCATCTTGAGCCCTAGAAAGGGACATTACTGAAGAGGTAAAATGGATTGGACTGGAAGTTGAGATAGGGGAAAGGGGAAGATGCAAAGGTTTTTGGCTGCATAACTAGATGAATGGTGTTATTGCCTGACTAACCAAGGGGACTGGAAGATAATCAGTTTGGCTGGGGTTAATGGGGAGGAATCATGAGTTCATCTTTATTTATTTACTTTGTAGTGATACAGATGGAACACAGGGCCACATGCACACTAGGCATGAGTTCAGTTTTAAACATTGAATTCAACGTGCCTTTGAAGAAGATGTTAAGTAGGCAGCCAGATATATGTGTCCTGAGTTTAGAGAAGACTAAGCTCAATATATAAATACCAAAGTCATATATTTCTAGGTGGTTATTGACATGTGAGCAGATGATATTGCCTAAAAAAGTATATAGAGCAAAAACAGCTCCAAAGCAGAGCTAGCAGGGAAGGCCTTAGCATAATCACCTCTAATTAGATCAGAGGGAAAGAGGTTAGATGCAGACTTACATAGATTGGAATATTCGATTTCTGGAAAATGAGAGTATTTATTTCCTTTGAGGTCTCCTGTATTCTTTGTCAAGTAGGAAATAAGGTCAGTGTTGAAAGGGTGTTCTGAAGTTTTAAGAAAGCAAGAGAGAGCCGGTGTAGTAGTGCACACCTGTAATCCCAGCATTCCAGAGGCAAGGCAGGAGGATTGCCAGCTTGGCTACATAGTGATAACCTGTCTCAAAAAGCAAACAAACAAAAAGTGGGAGAGTTTGTAGTGCCTACTCGCCCCGTCCAGTAGCTATCATCTCAGCAAAGGGTGCATTGCAGCTCTTTGCACTGCAACCGTTGCTCCCACTACTGCCCCTCCTCTGAACTCCTTCCAACTGAGTTTTTCTCAAAAAATGCCTAGAGTTGTCTTTTCAAAATACCAATCAGGCTGGTTGTGACAATGCCTATAATCCCAGCTGCTTGGGAGGCAGAGGCAGAAGGATCTCATAAATTAGAAGGGGGATGTAGTTTAGTGGTAGAGTGCTTCCCTAGCATCCATGAGGTCCTAGGTTCCATTCTCAGCGTTAAGGGAAAAGCATTTAATTCTGCAGTGAGGCCTTCCCTGGTAACCCTGACTAAAAGTCCACTTAGGACCTCTTGTCCTGTTTGATTTTTGTTCATTAACTTTGACCACTAGACTATAAGTGCCAGGACAGCAGGGAGTTTATTTTGTTCTCTGGTATATGTTTCCAGCACCTGGAACGATGCCTGGTACACGGTAGGGACTCAGTAAATACCTGCTGAATGAGTGAACAAATGGATATATTTATTATGTGTGCTTGCCCTGAAATGTTAATTCCTCGAGGGTAGTGATTCTGTGCTTATTTCCCATGTCTCTACTGCCTAGTCACATGTTGTTGACCTAATGAATCATAAATGTACAAGCTGCTGCGGTTGTGAGACTGTCCAGAAAGCTCAGTGGCACCTCCCTTTACCCCTACCTGCGGTGTGTTAACTCATGTCCCACCATTTCACTGAAGAAGCTCTTATGAAAGTTGATCTGGTTATTAGAGCCAATGGTTGGTCACTGCTTCAGACTTTTCCTACTTGTGACTCTGTATCTGTCTCAGCCTCCTATCTTCACTGACACAGCCCATGCTCAGGCCTCCATCGTTTCCCGCTCAGATGACACAGTAACCTAATTGGTCCCCCTATTATGGCTTGTATCTAGATGTCCTCCCAAAGCTTCATGTGGTCATAGTGGGGCTTTTCGGAGGTGGCTGGATCTAGAGTGTGTGATGCTGGGATTGATTCGTGATGTGATGCTAGGATTGAGGCTGCCTCACCCTGGATGTGAGTGCTGCCTGTCCACAGAGGGTCACTGCTTGTCACTTGCTCCTTGCGCTTCTGCTGCCTTCTGCCTGCTGTGAGCTGAGAACTCTGCGATGCCCCCTGCCCTGTCACCCTGCCTTGCAGCCAGCTGATTATGAACTCTACAAACTGTGAGCCAAGTAAACCTTTCCTTCTTTAACTGAGTGTTGGGTATTTTGTCTTAGCAACGAGAGAAAGTAATTTAAGACACCCCACTTCCAGGGTGCTTCTTCTCTCCTTTCATACTATTGCCATAGTGAGCTGTCTAAATGACACAAACAAAACAATTAGGACATTTATGAAACAATTGAAAATTTGAACATTGACTGGATATTTGATAATAAGGAATTCATATGTTTGTGCATATACATTTAGTAATGTTAATGGGAATGACAGTGATTGTGAATATATTTTCTTTTTAATGTGGGGTAGGAAATGGATAGGAGTATGGATGGATCAGGACTGGCCATGGTGACCATGGGTTGATGGTTGTTAGAGCTGGATGATGAGTATATGATGACCCATTATATTATTCAGTCTGCTCTTGTTTATGCTTAGAATTATTGGGGTGAAAATTTTAAAAAGCAAAACAAAACCCAAGTACGAGCCAGGCATGATGACGCATGCCTATAATCCCAGCAGTTGGGAGGAAGAGGCAGGAGGATCGCTGCAAGTTTGAGGCCAACCTGGGCTCCATAGTGAGTTCAAGGGCAGCCTGCACTACATAGCAAGACCCTGTCTCAAAAAAAAAAAAAAGAAAAGTGCCATCACATCATTCTGTTTGAAAATCTTCAGTGACTACTTAGGTTCAAGTCCATACTCTATGGTTTCACCTGGCTTTTCTGACCTGACCCTGACACCACGCCCAGCTTCTGTTCTTGCCATTCATCTCCATCACACTCCATGCCCAGCTGTGCTGAGCTTGCAGTGCCTTGAATTCCCAGAATGGCCTTGTGTCTCCTGTCCCTTGGCTGGAGCACCCACCTCACCCTTTCTTCTCTCCCAGCCCTTTCACCCACTTGTCAGGCAGCTTCCTGTCCAGGGAAGCCTCGCTGGACGTGTTGTATCCTCATATTGAATTGCGATTGTCTGTTTCCCTCTTCTAGGCTCTCAGCTCCTTTTCTCCTTTTTTTGCACTGCTAGGGATCAAACCAAAGGCTTCCTGCATGTTAGGAAAGTGCTGAACCACTGAACTACATTCCCAACTCCTTGAAGACGGACCACTGTATCACTACAAGTGCTTGCCCCTCAATTGATTGTTATTACCTGGGCGTGGTACGCACGCCTGTGATCCCAGCACTCTGGGAGGCTGAGGCAAGAGGATGACAAGTCTCACCCCAGCCTGGGCAACTTGGTGAGACCCTGACTCAAAATGAAAAATAAAAAAAGGGCTGGGATGTAGCTCATTGCAAAGACCCTGGGTTCAAAAGCTAACCTAGACCTGTGGTGGTGAATCTACGGTACACATGCCACAGCCAACTGTTTATCATTGAAAGTTCTAAAAGGTTCACCATCATTGGCCTAGACTATATAGCAAGATCCTGTCTCAAAATAACAAAAAATGATTTTTGGATAAATTGCTATTTGTGGCATTTAACATGTGCTCAACGCATACTTATTGAACAAGTGCTGTTGAAGATGAATACTGTATTTTTTTTTTTTTGGTACTGGGGATCAAACTTGGGTCCTTGTGCTTTCGCAGCAGGTGGCAAAACCATTGAGCTAAATCCCCGGCCCTTGAATACTGTATTTTTGCTTAGTGGTGTAGTGTAGGAGGCTGTGTTCCCCACAACCTTGAGCTCCAGGTGGGGTAGTTTGTGGTAGAAGTGGCTGGCAGGGTGTCAGGAAGAACTGGGGAATCATCTGAATTATTTTCTCCGGATTTTGTTTCTTCTACTGTGGTTGGAATTGGACCCTGTCCCCCAGCCAAGAGGCAACCAGCATCATGTGGTTACTAAATGTGCTGCCTTCACCTACTGATGCCTCCCAAAAAAGGACGTGGCCAGCCATCCCACAAAGCCCAGCTGCTGTTCCACCAACAACCACTGGAGGGCCCCAAGCACCACTGTGGATCCGTAAAGCAACGCCTCACTCGGACTCGGACTCGGCAGGTGCCCAGCAAGCCTATCGATGGAGCCATTGCTTCCTGGGTAGGCCAGTGGGATTCTTCGACTTTTACCCCATAGACTTTTCAGAATGCCGGCTCTTCTTGAACCAAGGCTTCCAAAGAATGAGCAGATTTGTGGGTCAGGGAAACAGTGCACTCTTTTTGGTAGTGGTCCTCCCTATGTGTCTTCTTTTCTCTGTTCAGACTGAGGCATGGGTTGGATGGCACTGGACTTGTCCCCACCAGGTTCCTCTGAAAAAGTTCATGCCTGTAATTCCAGGACTCAGGAGGCTGAGGCAGGAGGATTGCCTCAAGTTCAAGACCAGCCTAGGCTACATAGTGAGTTTAAGGTCAGCCTAAACCACAGATGGAGGCCCTGTCTCCAAAAAAAAAAAAAAAAAAAAAAGTGATTTTTCCCTGAATTTCATGTGAAAGGTATTTAGGTAGGTACTATATTAACTGTTTTGTTTTTTTTTTCTTGGCACTGGGGATGGAACTCAGGTCCCTGCAGGCCGGCGGCAGCACGAATGAACTAAATCCCTGACCCTTAACTGTTGAATAGACTGAACTTCGAAAAAAAAATCCACAGAAATGGCATATGTCATATTTGCCAGTTTAAAAGCCCTAGGATGGAAAGGTGTGGTGCACACACCTGTAATCCCAGCACTTGGGAAGCTGAGGAAAGTGGGTTGACTGAACTTCAAGGCCAGCATGGGCTGCACAGTGAGTTTAAGACCAGCCTGAGCTACATAGCGAGACCCTGTCTCAAATCAAACAAATGCCCTGGGATGGGCTGTGGATATAGCCTGATGGTAGAACTTGCCTAACATGCACTGGACCCTGATTCCATCCCCAGCACCAAAAAATGAACAACAAAAAATTCTTAAGGAAGCTGGGGATGTGGCTCAGTGGTCCTATGCCTCCCTGGCAAGTGCAAGGTCCTGAGTTCAATCCTCGGTACCACAAAAAAAAAAGGACTAGGAAGAGAATATAGCAGCTGTATAACAGAGAAGTACTGAAGCAAAAGGCCTTTGACAAAGCATATGCTTAAGATATAATTTGTCCAGGATTGCTGGGAAGAATGTTATTATTGGCTTTGTGATAATCGGGGAAACAAATACTGGAATCCTGTGGATGCTGATAGAAATAGACATTTATTGAGTATTACTTGTGTCCCACGTCTGTACTAGTTGCTTTGTGTGTGTATGTGTGTGTGTGTGGTTCTGGGGCTTGAACCCAGGGGTGTTCTACTACTGACCTATATCCCCTGCCTTTTTTGGGGGACAGAGTCTTGCTAGGTTGTCCAGGTAGGATTAGAACTTGCATCTTCCTATCTCAGCCTCCCACAATGCTGGATTACAGGCATGTGCCACCACATACTGGCTGCTAGATGCTTTCTGCACATGGTCTCATTCCCTGTTCTTACAGTGTAATGTTTATTATTTACTGAGGACCTTTTCTGTGCCAGGCATTCTGCTAGGTGCTGGGGAATCAATGGTAAACAAAATCTTTGCCCTTGTTAAGTTTGTTGTTTTTGTTTTGTTTTTGAGACAGGGTATCACTATGTAGTTCAGCCCTGGCCTTGAACTCCCTATACAGTCCAGGCTGGCCTCGAACTCACAGGATCCTCCTGTCTCTGCCTGGGCCTCCTAAGTGCTGGGATTACAGGTGTGTGCCACTATGCCCAGCCTGTTAAATTTTTGAGTGGTTTGATTTTGGTGCTGGGGATTGTACCCAGAGACTGGCTAAGCATGTGTAGTTTGAGCTGTTACCCTCCTGTCCTTCCCTCGTGAAATTTAAACAGTTAAATCATAGCTATATGGTGTGATGAAGTGCAAGAGGCATTGTCCCTGCTTTTGCACATGAGAAAACAAAACCAGAGAGACTTAACTTGGCCAAAGTGCATGTCTTTTTTGGGGGGTACCAGGATCAAACTCAGGACCTTGTGCTCGCGAGGCAGGTGTGGCGCCACTGAGCTAAATCCCCAGCCCAAAGTGCATACCTTTTTACATAAACATTTCATTAGATGGCTATTTCTGTTTTGTGTCCATTACTGTAGTGGGCATCATTTAAGGTTCTGGTTAAAAAAAAAAAAGCCAGGCATGGTGGCATACACCTATAATCCCAGCACTCTGGAAGGGTCAGGCTGGAGGATTTTGAATTCGAGCCTAGCCTGGGCAAATTAGAAACTTAGTGAGACCCTATCTCAGAATGAAAAATAAAAAAGGACTGGGGATGTAGTTCAGTGCAAATGTCCTGTGTTCACTCCCTAGTACCACACACAATAAGATTCTTGTCATTAGATGTTGTTTCCTCTCTTGGGTACTTGGTAGTTGGCTGACTTCACTTTTCTTTTTTTAATTCATAGGTATCACCTCAGTTTGACACAACAGTAGAAAGCTTTTTTCCAGGCCACCAGAAACATCACCAAGATCGGGCAAGACTTTCAAGTCGAAAATCAACCTGCAAATTTCCACATCTAGTCTTTGAGAATCCACTGTTCTCTTCCAGTCCAGAAATACCAGAAATCCCCTCAGTCAAGGAGTGCCGCAGTCAATCAGAAAAGGACATTTCCAGACAGCCTCTGGTTCCGATGTTCAGTCCCCAGACCTGTGGGGAGCTGTCAGCACATGCACTCCAGAGCTTGCCATGCGTGTTTGCTGCCCCTGACATCCAGACCCCAGGACCATCTGTGAGGGAAGATTCCAGTCCCCCAGAGCAGAGGGAAAACAGCCTTCCAGTCTGTGTCCACACCTGTGCTCCCCACAGCCCAGAGCCTGGGCCTGTTCTGGTTAAAGACACCCCAGAGGAGAAGTATGGGATAAAAGTGACATGGAGGAGGCGAAGGCATCTATTTGAGTACCTCAGGGAGAGAGGGAAGTTGAGCAGAAGCCAGTTCCTGGTGAACAGCTGACTGGATTTCTCAGACATCCTCTTCTCTAGAAGTCTCAAAATATTGCTGATTTTCCTAGAGTTGCTATAGTTTACAAGAGAGTATACTGCAAGAATAAAATACAGATAATACCAATGGAAGAAAGATTTTAACTCGAGTCCTAAGGAAATTCAATTCCCAGATTTTCTTTTTAAGATACCTTGTGTCATAAACAGTTGCATTTAGTATCATGAACTGTTTATATTTTTCTTTTATTAACTGTTTAAAATTTTTAAATCTTGTAACTTCAAAATGTATGTAAATAAATGGTTGTAGAGAGTTTTTAGAGAACCTCACTTGTCAGCGACACATGCTAGGCAAATGCTCTACCACTGAACTATAACCCCAACCAAGCTCTGTAACCTTCCTGTCTCAGCCTCTGGAATAGAGGGATTACTGGTGTGTACCACACGCCCAGATTTCCATCCCACATTTTTTTTTGTTGGTACCAGGGATGGAACTCAGGTCCTTGCACTTGCGCAGCAGGCGACGAAACCACTGAGCTAAATCCCCGGCCTGTTCCCCACATTTTTGAGTACTAACTCTGAGCCTCAATGGCAGCCTCCACTATGACCTGGTAGATGGAAAAAAATCAATGCAAGAGCCAGGTGTAGTGCACGCCCGTGATCCCAGCATTTTAGAGGCTGTGGCAGGAAGAGCACTGAGTTCAAGGTCAGCCTAGGCTACATAGTTCAAGGCCAGCATAGACTTCATATTGAGACTCTGTCTCAAAAAACAACAAAAAAATCAAAGCAAATTCTGACTTTATGGCTGACTGCTCCCTGTATTTTAGTGAATACAGCAGGATCAGGGGAGATAAAGGGGACATGGATAGTCACTTAGGTTTGCTTGTGGTTTTTTGTTTCCAATGGAAGACTTGTAAATATGAAAATTGTTTCTTAAACAATAACTTTAACTGTGAAAAAAATGTGGAAAAATTTCTAAGAATACTAATTGTAATTAATGTAGGACTGCCCAGTCCTTGCACTCACAAAAATACCATTTCATTCAACCCCATTCATTCAGCGCTTACCCCCTACTCTACATCAGGTCTCAGCTAGACCAAGAGGGATTGTTCTGCCTTTTTTTTTTTTCCCCTTAAGACAGGGTCTCACCACGTAGTGTAGGCTGGTCTTGAATTCACTAGGTAGCTCAGGCTGACCTTTATCGCTGGGCGGTCCTCCTGCCTCAGCCTCTTCAGTGCTGGGATCATAGGGGAGTGCCACTTTAGGATCCAGCCTACACGTTTATCCCTGACCAGGGTTTGAACAAGGACTGAGGATGGGCTCTCACCCCTAGTGGACAATAATCCCTGAACTGACAGTGCTCCTCACTTTTATTAGACTTGCACAAAGAAGAAACAAGCATGTGATCCAGGGTTCAGGGAAAATTCATTAGGTTCTCGTAATTTGCAGACTGCACCCGAATGTGTATCTTGTTTAATCAGACTTCAGCTGTAGTTGTTTCTCTCCTTGAAACTGATGGACGCTGGCCTGGGAGTGAACAGCCTGAGGGGGAGGCAGCTTTGTGTCCTTTCCTCCGAGCCCCAAGGAGAGCTCAGCCCAGGTCTTGGTCTCCCACCTGGTTTCCCACACGCCACCACACTCGGCTTGGTCTATGTTATAGCTGGGACTCTGAAGCACAGAGAATGCGCCTAGGTTCACACAGGGTGGATGCTGACACGGCACAGCACTCTGCTCCAGCTTGTGCCCACTAGAGTCGTAGAAAAATTAACTTCTGCATTCAAAGCCGATGTAGAAACTGACCTCAGAATGTTGTAAATTCGACAGGCAGTTGCTTTCGTCGGGAAGCTCTGCAGAGCCTATAGTGCTGTGCGGAGTGGAGGAATCCATGGGTGGTGACATGGCTCACCGGAAGGAGAGTGAGGTTTAGCTAGAGAGCAGCTCCTCCGGGATTGGGCTGCTGGAAGACGGTCTCGGTGGAGAGGGTAGCTGGAAGGATGGCATGCTGCAGGGAGTCTGGAGAGCAGGTCGCGTTGACCTGAGCTTGGGCTGGGAGAGGAGCGCCCTGCAGCTGACGGCACCAGCGCGGGTCCAAGGGCAGAGGCGAGCCGAGTCCTCACCCAGCAGACCGTGGAGGTGCCCCGGGTCGTCGGCCGACTGCGGGTGCGGGAGCCTCGCGGGGGGGGGTGGTGGGCAGGCGGCCCACTCACCCTCAGCCTCTGACCAGGGCCGTCGCAAGCCCAGCGCTCTCAGGCCAGGAGCGCTTGAGTCAGAGGACCGGAGCCCGGCGCGCAAGCGCCGTAACTCCCCCGCCGCCTCCAGCTCCTTGGAAACCATCTCGCTTCGGGCTGGAGGGAGCAGCCAATGAGGGAGAAGTGGCGGGGCGCGGACCAATAGGCTGCGGCGACAGTGCAGGGTGTGGTTGCCAGGAGCGGGGCCGGCCGCGGAGCGACAAGCCAACCGGGCTGCGGCGGACGGGGTGTGGACCGCGAGCGTTGGCCGCCGGGGATGGAGGCGGCGCGCCGCAAGCTCGGGCCCCGCGGGGACAGGTCAGAGGGCGGTCGCCGGGTCTGGAAGGGTGTGCCCTCTTCAGCGCCCCTCGGTTTCCTCACGGAGCCGCTGCTTTGGCCGTGCCGCCGCGGGGCCGCTGAGGTTGTGAAGCGCGGTCGCCTGTGCCCGGCCGTCGCTGTCGCGGGCGTGGGATCGGGGAGAGGCCCAGGGCTGACAGTGTCAAACTAGTTTTCTCTTTCTGCTTTCCAATTTCGGCTCCCCGCCCTCTGGGTACTGGGATTTGAAACCAGGGCCTTCGCACTGAGCTACATCCCTAGTCCTTTTGATGTTTTATTTTGAATAGGATCTGACAGAGTCCGTAAATTGCTTAGGCTAAGCTCAAACTTGCGATCCTCCTGTCTCAGCCTCTCGGAATCTGGAATTACAGCCGTGGGCCCCCAGCCCCGCTCAGTAGTTGTCTCTTACGCTGGATGGTCTTAACTTCCGAATGCTTCTTACCCCCTTTTCTGCTCTGCTTTCTCTGCTGCCACCTCGTTTTCTGCCACCTCTAAAAGGAAAGAGAAACCCGAAATCTCAGCCTGTCAGCTTCGTGTTAGTGAAAAGTTAATGGAGAGCCCTGTGAATCATTGACAAAAACCTTTGTCATTCGCTGAGGATTTAAGTCATACACGCCGACGGTACTCTTAGCTCTTTATTCCATTGCTATACCCACTAAAGGTTTGGCGTGTAAAGATTTAGTCTATTATTTAAACTAGTAGGTATTTAAACAGTTCTGACCCTCCCTGCTTTTTCGGTACTGGGAATTGAACCCAGGCCTTTGCACTGAGTTGCATTCACATCCCCATTTTAAATTTTGTTTTGTTTTGGTACTGGGAATCAAACTCAGGACCTTGTGCTTGCACGGCAGGCGAGGTGCCACTGAGCTAAATCCCCGGCAAGGCCCTTTCTTAATAATTTTTTAAATTGATATAAAAGGGAATGTGTGAGAGTCACTGTTTCTTGCCCTAGGTAAAGTTAGTGCAACTTCTGTCACTGTGTAACTGGTTGCTAAGAACTGGTTGCTCTTGCTTTTTTGGTTTTAGGTTTTATATTTCATTTTTTTGTTTTGTTTTGTTTTTGGCACCAGGGATCAAACTCGGGACCTTGTACTTGCGAGGCAGGTGACAGAACCACTGAGCTAAATCCTTGGCCCTATATTTCATGTTTTTGATGAAATACAGTGAGTTTCCAGTGTTAATACTTTTCGATGTGAGGATAGCATCTGACTTTTGCATTTTCTGTGATTTTTTTCTTTGAATTATGTAACTGTCATACTATGAGGCAGATTTATTTTTTTATTTTAACTTTTATTCTTATTCACATATTAGCATAGCGGCACAAAACGGTTCCATTCATCATGGGGCAGTCGATACATGTACAAACACATCTTGATTTTTTTTACTTCCCTTCCCTCCTTCCCCTCTCTCCACCTCTTGATCCCCTTCCCACTTGCAAAAGACCTATCTCCCTGTCTCCTACTATCTGTCTGTTACATATGGGCTTCTAGGCAGAATCTAATTTGATTTGTTGATTGTTGCTATTGTTTCATGTCTCATTGGACTATTATTTAGGAAGTCTTTGCCTATGCCTACGGCTTCAAGTGTTTCCCTTTATGTTTTGTTTTGTTTTGTTTTGGATTTTTGAGTCAGGGTCTCACTATGTAGTCCAGGCTGACCTAGAGCTCTCTATGGAGCTCATGCTGACCTCAAAGTAGTAATCCTCCTGCCTCAGCCTCCTGAGTGTCTCTTGAGTGCTGGAATTACAGGCATGAGCCACTGTGCCCAAATTTCCCTGTGTTTTCTTTTAGCAGTTTTAAAGGTTCAGATTTGTTTGTTTGTTTGGTGGTGCTGGGGAAAACACTAAGATGTTTACCAGCTGTTTTTATTCTGAGACTGTGAAGTTGCTTAGGCTGGGGTTGATCTATGATCTTTCTGCCTCAGCCTCCAGAGTATTGGGATTTCAGGTATGTGCCACCATGCCTGTGTAGTTTCAGATCTTTTACCTAGGTCTGTGAACTATGTTGAACTGATTTTTGTACAGAATGAGAGATGGGGATCTAGTTTTTTTTATTAATTCATGTTTGCAGTACATAATGATCACATTCATTGTGGGGAGTTGGTGCATGTAATAACACATCTTCATTCTTTTTGCTTTTTACTTTCCATTCCCCCTTCCTCTAGGGATCTAGCTTCAATTTTCTGCAAATGGATATCCAGTTTTGTTTTTTTTTTCTTTTTCTTTTTTGGTACTAGGGCTTGAACTTGGGATCTTGTGCTTGTGAGGCAGGCGGTGGAACCACTGAGCTAAATCCCTAGGCCCCTGTCTTAGTTTTTGTTGCTGGGACAAGCTTAAAGGAGGAGAGTTTTATTTCGGCTCACATTTCATAAGTTTCAGTCCTTGCATGGTCACTAGCATGATGGAGGGCCTAGGGTGGAGGAAAGCTGCTGAGGTTGTGGCCAGGAAGCAGAGAGAAGGGAGGAACTCAGTGGGCAGATGCAGCCTACTGGGTCACACCCATATGACCTGCCTCCTACCTAGTTTTGTGACAGTCCCATACTGTTCGTGTTACTGTGGTTTAACTCCAGATTGTAGGAGTCTTTCCAATAGAAAAAACAGCTGTACATAGACTACTAACACTTCCCCTTGGTTGAGGAAGGACGGATTTCAAAGGAGTGTTTCCTGGCATCTCTAATTTGAGGTTTTTTTGGTTTTTTTGAAATCTCGCTATGTATAGTAGGTTAGGCTGGCCTTGAACTCACTGTGTAGCCCAGGCTGACTTGGAACCTTTGGCTCCTCCTGCCTCAGTCTCCCAAGTGCTGGGATCATAGGCAGGTACCACCATCCCCATCTCTAATTTCATATTTATATATTGTCTCCCGCTTTATTCTTGGTGTCTCAGTATGTATGAAAATATGGCTTCTCCAATACTGAAATTTAGGGTTTGGAAAAGGTAAGTCTGTGTGTCACTTGACTTAAATAACACTTTATTAGTAGCTGTTGCCACATTTACCTGAAACTGTTATTCATTTGAACACAAATTCTGATGAGTAGGTGCAAGGGATGGAACCCAGGGCCTGGCCCGAGCTAAGCTTCTGCTTGCTGTACCTCTGAGCTCCCAGCCCTACAAGGATTCTTTGAAATCCACTCACTAGCTTAGAAATTCTGCTGCCTAAAAACAGCAAATGAACTGACATTTTGAGTGAAAAGCTTTTTAATGAATTTATTGAAATACCATAGTGATGAAATCCTTGATTCTGTGCTGACCATAGCAACACCTGTGGATTGGTTGTGCGACTTAGTGTATGGAGGTAGATGGGAGTGAGACATAGTTGAGTTTCCGTTCCTTCCCTGATGAGCTGTGTGACTGTGGGCACATTGCTTAATCTTTATTTGATACCTCATCCAAACAATGGGATCATAGTACCTACCTTGTAGTTCTGAGACTTAGAGGAAATAGCGTGTATATAATGGAGTTTCTGGCGCACGATAGTTAAGTGTTCACTAAATGGAGCAGTATTCCAGCCGGCAAAGTGACAATGTATTTTAACAGCTTTGTAGGGCAAGAGATGGGTCTGCTTACCTCAGGGCAGCCTCTGGCCCAGTGCCATGTCCTGGAATCCATGTACCACCCTGTTTCCTTCGTCCGCACTGGTCAGGGCTGACTTCTAACTGCTTCATCTGCTTCCGGCCCTGACGAGACTGAAACCATGGAGAACAACCCATCCATCAGGCTGATGTTGTTCAAGATGTGCAGCTAGCAGGTCAGAAGTGTGGTCTGATCCATCTGAAGGTGGTCACTGCTCTGATGATGAAAGTAGACATCGTGTGTGTGTGTGTGTGTGTGTGTGTGTCTGTCTGTCTGTCTGTCTGTCGGTGGTATTGGGGAATTGAGCAGCACTTTTTTATTTTTTATTTTGACCTGGGAGTGCTGCTCACTGAGTTGTCCAGGCTGGGCTCTAACTTGTAATCCTCCTGCCTCAGCCTCTTACAGGCATGCACCCCTATGCCTGGCACACATCTTCATGCTTTTGATTGTACATTGAGTACAAAAATCACCTCACTGTGGAAGGGTGGCTGGAGCAGAAAGCTCTACTGCCCAGTAAGAGCACTGGTAATGAAAGGTTGTGCACAAGGATTGATGTTGCCTTTCCTCTTTTTTGGCACTAGTAGTGATTGAACCCAGGGCCTTCACACTGAGCTGTATTCTCAGCCCTTTAAAAAATGTTTTGACAGAGTTGCTAAGTTGCCCAGGTTGGACTAGAACTTTCAATCCTCCTGCCTCAGTATCCTAGAGTTTTGTGATTACAGGCATGTGTCACCACACCTGGCTAATAATTTTCTTCTTAAGAATCAAAAGAATCCTGGGCTAAAGGCTTTCATTCGTTGACTTTCCAAAATTAAGCTCTTTGCCCCAGGTGTGTTTGTAAGAGATCTGTTTGTTTTCCATCTTTACCACTTACCAAGCTGTGAAATGAATACAAGCATGCGTGGGCTTGTGAAGGTCCAGGTCTGTCTTGCTATCTTCCAGTTAAGAGATTTCAGCAAAAACCATCATGCTGAACTGCCTCCTAGGGCTTTTTGAAAGTGTTCAAGTTGATAAAGCTTGAGGACCAAATGCTTTGTGCTGTTTAACAGTGAAGCTCAGGGCTGGGGCTGATGCATGCCTATAATCCTGGCACTAGGGAGGCTGAGTCAGGAGGATCACTGAGAGTTCAAGGCCAGTCTAGAATACACAGTGAGACCCTGTCTCCAAAGAAAAAAGGAGGAATTAGGGCTGGGAGTGAAGCTTGGTGGGTAGAGTACTTATCTAGAATGAAATAAGACCTGGATTTCGCCCCAGCTCCACTAAAAAAGAAAGAAAATGAATAAACAGTTCAGTCTAATCATCTCTTGTTGAAAATTGCTCCATGTAGGAAGATAAGTAAATATGAAGCCAATGAAACTACATAGGTGCACATACATGGTGGAAATCGAGAGTGAATGAACAGAAGTGAAAATA